CTAGTTCTCTTCCCTTGTAAACTGTCTTGAGGGTTTCGTGTCTGCTTTGGTTGCAGGCTCCTAATACTCTTCTGAGGCTTTGGAGAAAGCCCTGAGGTAAAACAGATGCCTAAGGTGTGTGCTTAGTGATGGAAGGAGGCAGGGCCAACCTCACAGCTGTGGATGCCATCAGAGGTGAAAGAGGGGTTGTAATAAGGAGCACAAAACCATCTACAGAGGGAAAGAATCCTTTATTCGTCTTCACTGTATTTACTGAGCTTCACACTTCACTGTATTTACTGAATCTATCCAGATATTTGGCAAGGGAAAGTTGTTCCTTTTTTTTTTTTTTTAAATAAAGCTTTTATTTATTTATTTGACAGAATGGGGGAGCAGCAAGCAGAGGGAGAAGCAGGCCCCCTGCAGAGCAGAGCTATATCCCAGGACCCTGGGATCATAGATGCTTAGCTGACTGAGCCACCCAAGTGCCCCGGGAAAGTTGTTCTTAATGAAAGAACTCAAGCTAAATTAAAAAGATACAGAAGCCATGTTAAAATGATAAAACTACTTTCAATCTTGAATAAAATAATGAATTCAGGCAGTGATCATCGGTGTTTGTGGCATCATGGGAAGATAGCTAGAGATACACATCTCCTTGTGGAAGTACAAGACACTTTCTTTTCTTTTATGTTTTTCTTTCTTTTTTTTAAAGTTTCATTTATTTATTCTTTATACCCAATGTAGGATTTGAACTCAGGACCCCGAGTTCAAGAGTTGAATGCTCCTCTGACTGAGCCAGTCAGGCACCCCAGTACAAGACACTTCTTGTAGTACATTATTGTCTCTCCCCAAACAAGTGGCAACAACAAAAAGCAAATTGAAACTTCAGATCTAATTACAGAGGGGACAGAGGAGAATATTAAGCACCATCATGGGGGCTGTAATTAGCAAAATCCAGTCAATGAGAAATTATAGGACAAATGACAGGTTTGCAGTCCCTCTCCCCCCATAAGCTGCAAGGAAAGAAACAGTGGGAAACATTGTGGATTGTGGGACTCGAATCCTAATCAACCAAATGCAATATATGGCTCTTTTGAGATACTGATTGAACAAACGGAATTTTTTTTTTGATTGAAGAAGAACTGTGACTAGGTATTTAATATGAAGTTTTTCTTCATTTTTAAGGACTGATTATAGTATTTTGCCTACTTAAAATCCATTTTTAAAAAAGATTTTATTCCGTCATGAAACACACGAAGAGAGGCAGAGATATAGGCAGAGGGAGAAGCAGGCTCCTTGCTGAGCAGAGAGCCTGATACAGGACTTGATCCCAAGACCCCAGGATCATGACCAGAGCCGAAGGCAGATGTTCAGCCACTGAGCCACCCAGCTGCCCCTAAAATCGATTTTAAAAGAGATATGAATAGTCATAAATAAAAGGTATAAGTGACAAATTTGGAGTGATGAGTACATTCTAGGAGGCAGGCATTTGGAGTGGTAGCTTCAATTGTCTTGTTCTGATTATTTGGGCAGGTAGAGTCATAGATGTGTAATATTTTTTATAAAGCATAAAAGACCTAGCATATCAAATTCAACATAGTAAACAATTTACTGAAAATGACACAAAAGGGATACAATGGATAAAATCCAGAATGAGTTATCATGCAGGGCTTGTGACCTATCCACAAATAAATGGCAAAAAGAATGTAGATCTAAGAGATAACTCCACACATGTGCATTTTTTTTTTTTTTTTAAATTTAGGCTCTGTGCCCAGTGTAGGGCTTGAACTCACAGACTCAGGATCACAAGTAACATGCTCTAGGGACTGAGCCAGCTAGGTGCTCCTCCTCAGGATCATGATAGGAATAAACAAACTGTATGAATATATTAAGTAATTGGAAATAGAGTGGATATCTGATACCAAGGAATTTCTGTAAATCACTTTGAGGAGCAGTGATGGTTTATTATTTTTTTAAGATTTTATTCATTTATTCATGCTACAGAGAAGGCAGAGTCATAGGTAGAGGGAGTAGCAGGCTTCCCACAGGAAGCCCAATGCAGGACTCGATCCCAGCACCCTAGGATCATAGCATGAGCCAAAGGCAGACATTCAACCACTGAGCCACCAAGGTGCCCACAATGTTTTTTTAGTTTCTGTTTCTGTTTTGAGAGAGAGCACTCAGGGTGGTGGTGGGGGGGGGTGGAGGAGGGGGAGAGGGAGGGAATCTTAAGCAGGCTCAATGGCAGGCTTGAGCCCAATATGAGGCTTCATCCCAGGACCATGAGATGATGTCCTGAGCTGAAATAAAAAGTTAGTTACCCAACTGACTGAGCCATCCAGGTGCCCCATAAGCAAAAGTCCTTTTAAAGCTGTTTACTGGGGATCCCTGGGTGGCGCAGTGGTTTGGCGCCTGCCTTTGGCCCAGGGCGTGATCCTGGAGACCCGGGATCAAATCCCACGTCGGGCTCCCGGTACATGGAGCCTGCTTCTCCCTCTGCCTGTGTCTCTGCCTCTCTCTCTCTCCCTCTGTGACTATCATAAATAAATAAAAAAAATAAAAAAAAAATAAAGCTGTTTACTAATGTACTTGAGCATGACAAGCCATGTAAGTGGAACTTCTTGGTACTGGTGTGAGTATAGATAAACAAGGTAAGGTGATCATACTTAATAATTGAACCTGGTATGGGCATATGGAAGTTGATTTTTTTAGTTTGGTGTCAATTTGAATAAAATTAGTTGAAATTTGGGACACCTGGGTGGCTCAGCAGTTGAGTGTCTGCCTTTGGCCCAGGGCGTGATCCTGGAATCCTGGGATCAAGTCCCACATCAGGCTCCCTGCATGGAGCCTGCTTCTCCCTCTGCCTATGTCTCTGTGTCTCTCATGAATAAATAAATACAATCTTAAAAAAAAAAGTTGAAATTCGTTCCAGGGATTACTAAAGATCTTAAAGATAACCTTTGGAGTCTACATGAGTTTCCTTCTTTCTTTTTTTTTTTTTTTAGATTTTATTTATTCGTAGAGACGCAGAGAGAGAGAGAGAGAGAGACAGGCAGAGGGAGAAGCAGGCACTATTGCAGAGAGCCCGACGCGGGACTCGATCCAGGGTCTCCAGGATCATGCCCTGGGTTGCAGGCGGCGCTAAACCGCTCTGCCACCGGGGCTGCCCCCTACATGAGTTTCTATTGCATCTTTATTCCATAATTAAACTTGCTTCTAGCAAATTGTATTGAAGTCTCATTATAACTAATATTTCAAGCACAATAAGCATTTTTGAAGATTTTTGTCTATTACCCTAAATACTTAGTAAACTTTACACCATTTTTCCTTGTGGAGGGAAACTTTTAAATTCTTTATGATTAAACTATGTTGAAGTTTTTTTTTTAATGTAATGAATTAATTAAATCATTATTTTTCTGGTTTTTGTCATCCTTAAATGTAGTGGTGGTTCTCACTTTTCCTGTGAACTGTAAGGGAATCTTTGGGATGGGCAGCCCTGGTGGCTTAGCAGTTTAGCGCCGCCTTCGGCTCAGGGCATGATCCTGGAGACCCGGGATCGAGTCCCATGTCGGGCTCCCTGCATGGGAGCCTGCTTCTCCCTCTGCCTGTGTTTCTGCCTCTCCCTCTCTCTCATGAATGAATAAATAAAATCTTTAAAAAAATTTTTTGGGAATATTTGTAGTTTCTGATAGTTTAGATCTTGTGTTTTTCTTCCCCAGGAATAGATAACAAATTTTATTTTATTTTTTTATTTTTTAGATGATAAATTTTAATTTAACTATCATTTGAATGCTTCTCAAGTGCTAAGCACTGTTCCACGTTCTGAACACAACAGAGAATGAGATGGCCCAATTAATTAGTTGCTATTCTAAGGCATGTATATCCTATGACTTAGGTGTGCTTCAGGAGGAGGTAGGACACCAACACACTTTGCAGCTGGTTAAACTGAACTTGAGTGATTAGGTAATCATATGGTAGAAACATATCCATATCTATTTTCTTGACTCTTAACAATTTAGAATTAAACATAAATAGAACCTAATTTTAAAAGCTGAGATTGAAGATCCTGTAAAGCAGGTGATAATCCTTTTTTCTTTTTTTAAATAAAAATGAACTTGATTTACTTGTATTATTTTTTAAATAGAATTTAAACTTGTTTTATTTGTTTAAAGTAATCTCTAGACACAATGTGGGGCTCAAACTCATGACCTTGAGATCAAGAGTCACTCGCTGCCACCTGAGCCAGCCAGGCACCCCTGGATTTACTTGTATGTAGGGAAAAATCTAAAAACATAATACTGAGCAAAAAAATAACTCGCAAAAAAAAAAAAACTCGCAAAATTTGTATACAGTAAATTTTTCTATAAAATATATGGAATGCAGGGGCTCCTGGGTGGCTCAGCAGTTGAGCACCTGCCTCCCTGGGGTCCTGGGATTGAGTCCCACATCAGGCTCCCCAGAGGGAGCCTGCTTTTCCCTCTGCCTGTGTCTCTGCCTCTCTGTGTTTCTCTCATGAATAAATAAATGAAATGAATAAATAAAATCTTTAAAAATAAATCTGGAATGCAGAGTGCCTTCAGTTGATTGAGCATTTAACTCCTTTTTTTTTCTTTTTTAAAGATTTTATTTATTTATTTATTTATTTATTTATTTATTTATTTATTTATTTATTTATTTATTTATTTATTTGACAGTATAAGCAGAGGGAGCAGCAGAGGGGTAAAGAAAGAGGAAGAAGAGGCTCCTGCTGAGCAGGGAGCCTGATGTGGGGCTGGATCCCAGGATTCTGGGATCATGACCTGAGCCGAAAGTAGACGCTTAACCAGCTAAGCCACCCAGGTGCTCCTGAGCATCCAACTCTTGATTTCAGCTCAGGTCGTGATCTCTGGGTGGTGGGGTTGAGCCGCACATTGGACTCTGCACTCAGGAGGGAGTCTGCTAGAGATTCTTTTTTTCTCCCCCTCTGCCCCTCCTTCCACTTGCATGAGCGTGCTTCTCTGTTTCAAATAAATACTTAAAAAAAAAATAGGGAACACCTCACAAATTTGTGTGTGTCATCCTTGCCCTGGAGCCATGCTAATCCCTGTATCACTTTAATTCTAGTATATGTGCTGCTGAAGGGAGCACACAGGTAATAGTGTTTTAATTGTGCATAGCCAACTCCATAAGTACAGCAGAGTGGGATGAATTGTTCTCAAGTACTTCCCAGGTGAGAAGTTTGTGTTTATGTGCTAGATGGTTAGAATTCATGCCTTTGCTTGGTCTCTTTTAATGTTGAGCCTTTTGGCTCTTATACTGTTAAGAGAGGAGCATGGGGTTAGGGGCACGGGAGAAACTGCAGAGGTTAATGAGCTATGTTACCGGTAAATGGGAAAGAGCAACTCTAGATGTGAAAACACTAACTATATGAAAATCATCTTGATGTTTGTCTAAAATGAAACTTGAGAGAATCAGATGATGGAAATTGGACAGCCATTTAAGGGGAATAATTATTTGTGTTGGCAAAATATGGCTAATAGATTACTTCTAATGTACAAAAAATGGTGTTCTATTTAAAGAATTTCTTGGGAACCCTGTGAAATGGTATTTATTTTTGCAATAAGAATAAACATCTGCCAGTTGACCTAAACTCTGTATACACACTTATATATATACTTCTGGGGAACAGTTTTGATAATGTATATACCTAGGAAAAAAGTCCAGTGGGAATGAATATTTAGTTTCTTAACACTGCTCTGCTAATTCTTACTGATAGGTGCTTGAATAAAACTTAGTACTTTCAGGGGCAACTGAGTGGCTCTGTCAGTTAAGTCTCTGCCTTCGGCTGAGGTCATGATCCCAGGGTCCTGGGATTGAGCCCCATGGTGGGCACCCTGCTCAGCAGGGAACCTGCTTCTCCCTCTCCCTTTGCTCTACACCCTTTCCTGCCTCTGCTCTGCTCTCTCTCAAATCTTAAAAAAAAAACCCATAGTACTTGCATGTGTGTAGTAAATCTTATTTCCTTGGTTACTGAGGGTAAATATTACACAATATTGAGTAACTTTTCTGTTAGCTGAAGCAATATATAGTACTTGTGTAATCTGCGTATTAGACGTCCTAGCAGATTGTGTGTATATATATATGTGTGTACATGCACACACATACACACACACACACACACACATGTTTTCAATTTGGGCGTGGCGCTTATTGTGGGACCCAAACTCATGACCCGGAGACGCTGAGATCAAGAGTCTGATGCCTAACTGAGCCACCCAGATGCCCCAGTAGAGTATATTTATAAAGGTTTTTATGGGAAATATAGTTTATCCTAAAGCAAAAATACAGGGATGCCTGGGTGGCTCGGTTGAGCGTCTGCCGTTGACTCAGGTTGTGATCCTGGAGTCCTGGGATCAAGTCCCACATCGGCTTCCCTGCATGGAGCCTGCTTTTCTCTCTGCCTATGTCTCTGCCTCCCTCTCTCTCTCTGTCTCTCATGAATAAATAAATAAAAATCTTAATACTGTATTTTTGCTTTTTATTTTAATGTGTCCTGCAGCTTTAACAATGGTTAGAACATAAGTTATTTTCAAACAAATCTCAGACTTAGAGACAAATCTCAAACAAATCTCACTCAAACAAATCTCATGTGTAAATTCTGAGGCTGAGGTGGTGGTTGAATTTTTTTTCCCCTTAAATTGACATTCTTACCATCTCTTGGGTGTATTTCCCTGATGATTGTGCTTTGTTTTACTGTCCCATAAAAATAATGCAAAGCTGCTTTTTTCCTTCCTCCTCAAGTTTGTGATTACAAACAGGATGTACTGAGTTTAGTTAATCTACATGTTCTTTATAGTTCCCTGAAGGATAGGCAGTATCTAGCATTTATTTGTTCTCATGTATTCAGGGGAATACAAGAGACAAAGGACTAGGTTATGCATGTGGTTTAAGTTGTGTTTTGCTGTGGTACTTCAAAATACTTGGATTATTTGACCAGGAAAGGGAAACTTCTAATTTTAGAAGTTAAGCAATTTAATTATTTCACTTGATATGCTAAGCCCAGTTACTAATACTATCATTCTTCTCTAACACTACGCGTAGAATCTCAAGCTCAGTGACCACATCTACAAAACTACCTCCATCACTCAGACTTATACCAAAAGGCGCGAACTATAAATTCCTTTCCCTTCTAAGGGGGTGATTTTGTGTGTGGCACCTGTATTACAATTTCACATAATTAATGTCTTTAGCTCCCTTTCTCCCTCTGATAGTGTTGAAGAAGGGGTAGAAGAAAAGTAGATAGATACATTAAATATTGTATGTAATTGTTACTTTGTAGCCTCTGTGTGTGCGTGTGTATGCATTTGAACTAAGGTTGGGATTTTTTTTGAGGGTATTGAGATATGAAAGCTTAATGAATCAGAGTGGTTTATAATTACACATCAGTGAGTTAGGCAATATCCAAACAATTTATACACATAGATCTAATACCAAAGAATTTAATGTATGACACAAAGATGCATACATAAGATGCTGAGACATTTACAATTTATCAGGTGTCAATAAAATATCAAAGTAATGAAGTGTTTTGTATATATAACACGTGAATACAAAGAATGCTAAATAACTTTAACAGCAAGGTTGAGCAGGTAAAGAGACAAATTGACAGCATTTTTGATCAGTAAAGAGAGGATGCACATTTCCAAATGCCAGCCAGAATTATTTAATTGGAAAGGTTTTAGGCCTAACAAAAATTCCATACACTTAATGAAAGCAGAAATCTTACCTATCATACTTTTGAGGATTTTTTCTATAACTCGCGTTAGAAAATTCAAACTTTATTTTTTAAGTTTTTATTTTAATTTAAATTAGTTTATATACAGTGTTAGTAAGGTCAGTCAGGGATTTTTAATGATATCTGGACCATAGAGTCCCTTGGTAGCCTGAAACTTAAGGACCTCTTAGAATGTTTTTCAGTGCATAACATAAAATACATAGGATTATAAAGGAAATCAATTATTTTGAAATACAGTTAGCAAAATATTAAAACTCATAGTGAGTATATACTTCTTAACATAATAAGTTCTGGCAGCACATCTAAATTTAACAGCAATGGGTGTAGATTGTAAAAATCTGCATCAAGTTAATATGATATGAATGTCTAATGTGTATATATATATTTTTTGTCTAATGTATATTAATGTCAAAATTATAAGTGTGATTCTACTGTGGCTTAATGCCAACATTCACAATTAAAGGAGGTACTAAATTTCAATTAGGGGATAGTGAAAATAAATAGGATTTTTATCCCTCCCCATCTAGGTTCCTTGAATCTATCTGTGGACCCTTTGACTACGATCTCAAATTAAGAACATCTGTAGTTTGGCTTTGTTTGTGTCTGTGTATGCTTAATTTAAGGCTTGAGGGTTTGAATTTAGTATATAGTCACCATACAAAATGTTTCTCAAATATTATAATTTTTAAAAGCCAAATTTAGGGAGTCTTGGCTGGCTCAGTGGTAGAGCATCTAACTCTTGATATTGCGTTGTAAGTTTGAGTCTCATATTGGGTGTAAAGATTACTTTTAAAATCTTTTTTGTTTTTTAAGGATTTTACTTATTTGTTTGTGGGAGACAGAGAGAGAGGCAGAGAGAGAAGCAGGCTCTCTGTGGGGAACCCGATGTGGGACTTGATCCTAGGATGCCCCCGAGGATAAGCCAAAGGCAGATGCTCAACCACTGAGCCACCTGGGCATCCCTACTTTAAAAATCTTTAAGAAAAACAAAACAAAACAAAAAACAAAAGAAAAAAATTATAATTTTATTGGCTTTAAAATAAGCTATTATCATCCAATGATGCTGGATCTCCAAATGGTCTTAAAATGGTCCTGTGATCAATGTGGTCTCCTTTTTCTTTTTTGGGCTGCATTTTCTTATTATACATTGGCTTGTAGTTAATAAAAATAGGTTAAGTAACTTCAAAGCATTCATGTTGACGATTTCATGTCTTTTGGTTTGATATATTTTTTTTCTTTTATAAAACATTTTAATTCTTCTGCAGGATCCGGAAACTTCAGATACGGAATATCCCGCCTCACTTACAGTGGGAGGTAAGAATTTCTATATTTAAAGTTAAGATCTCTGTATCTAAACTTACTTTTGTTAATTTTTTCAAGCGTTTTTCTCCTTCCCTCCACTCTGGGCTGTGCTAGAACACAAAATTCCTGTCCAGTGTCTGTCTTGCTGTGGGCTTTTCTTTGCAGGGGCATAGTATCTCTTAAAAATCTGCTCTTTGATATCCTTTAACTGAGTAATTTCCCTCATTCAGTCTCATCCTAACAGAATCTTGTTTGAGATCTTCCTCATGAATTCACCGGTTACATTTAAATATGAAGTTCCTCCTTGGCACATTTTTTAAAGACCCATACTTAGTACTTAAGCTGTATTTTAAAATGTTAACTCTGCTTTCTTTTGCTCGGATGGTGGCACTGTAGTAACTGTGTATAAACAAACTACTTAGCACAATTGAATAGTCGTTGCCAATAAATTCCAAAGCATAATAACGATGTCACGGTGAGATTTTGAGACACCGGTAATCGAAGAGATTTTTTTTTTTTTAAATGTCAATTCTTCCTAATGATGGAACCTAAAAATTCTGAAAACCTACCTTGGAGAGGTGATACAGAGAAAAACTGCTTAGCTTTTATGTATTTTTAATGTAAAAATCAGGAGTACTAGTTTGGTGTGTTTCACATTAGTCTTCTGAAATGACGTTTGATGAGTCAGACATTAAACCCAAAACCTTCACCAAAATGCAAAGTATGGTTGAAAGGTTTCTTTGTTGGTTCATAAAGGCAGGTTGGTCCAAGGTGTGATTCTCCCAAGGTCCCAGTTGATAATAAATCATTTATGTTTGTAATATTCTATAGAGTGTTTATTTTCAGAACAATATTACTAAGTTTAATCTTTGCTGGAGGAGTTGTTTCTTTGATATATGCTAAATATTTTCCAAGTTATATAATGTATAAAAAGTATATTTTTGTAGGTGGAAACAGTGGCTTTTAAGATTAAACCTAATGCATTTTCCTGTTTTAGATTAACACTCGTTTAGGAGATTCAGTAGCTTGGAGGATGGGCACCTAAATCAAG